CGGCGGGAGCCCTACAACTTCCTGCAGGTGGCCCTCTTCAAGGTGCGCCGCCAGCTCCTGCTGGGAGCAGAGCCCGGGGGGAGCCGGCCCCTCCTGCGTTTGGGGCCAGGACGGAATTTCACCCCCGGGTCAGATTGGCCCTGACTGGGGGGGTGGCCCTCTGCCCAGCACTGTAGCAAGCGGGGCGACCGCCCCGGGCGCTGAAGCGGAGGTGCGCCAACAGTCACTGCCCAAACGGAGCAGGGCATGGGGCAGAGCCGTGGGGCATCCAGGGGGCGCAGGGACAGAGGGAGGCCGGCTCCCACCACTGCCTGCACTCCTGCGGGAAGTGTGTGGCCCCCCTCAATCTGCACACAGGGCCAGGGTAGTTTGCTGCTGCTGCAGGCTTGCCCCAGGCGCCAAACTTCCTTGCTAGGGTACTGCCTCTGCCCAGGACCTCTTGAGCATATATTGACACTGATAGAGGCAGGGTGTGGGCTGCTGTGGTTCCCCTGCGTTACCTGTGAAAGGTGTAGGTCCCTGTGGCATCAGGGTTGAGGGTAGTCTTCAGCTGAGTTTAGATGATGGATTGTACGGGATGGTTTGATAGGGCTGATCCTGCCTTGGGCAGGGGCTGGACTCACTAGATGACCTCTGGACTCACTAGATGACTTCCAGTCCTGCTTCTCTTTGAGTCCATGACAGCCTGTGTGACACCCTGCTTGAGAGCCCCCACTTTGCTGTTTTTGTGTAGGACCTACAGCTGGAGAGGGCTGGAAAGGATTGGATGGGGAGTCTTGGTGGACGGGGCTTTCCATGGTGTCTAACCCCCCCCCACCCAGGTGGCAGCCTGGTGCAGGGCCTGACAGTAGTTGTAACCCCAGCTCAGCCCCAGACAGCATCTTGAGGACATCATGGGGTGGGGGCTAAAGTCCAACAGCAGCATGGGTGTGTGTGCGTGGGTTCTTATTGCACACTATCCAGTAGGGGGTCTGCAGGGTGCATTGTTTACAGGCAGGTCCTATGAAAACCAATGAAAGGGCAGGGGAAGCCAGGTGGACGGGTTCACTTGAGAAGCAAGGGGGGTGGGTCTGCCTCCAGACCAGGGGAATGGCTCTAGGTAGGCTGTTTTGTCTCTGCAGCTGAAGAAACTGGACGAGGCAGTGGCAGCTGCACACACATTCTTCATGGCAAACCCCCAGCACCTGCAGATGCGTGAAGACATCGAGAAATACCAGCGCATGGCAGGGGTAAAGTCAGACAGTTTCCGGGACCTGGAGGCTGTGCCACACTGGGTAAGACCCCCGTAGAGCAGGGGTGGGCAAAATATGGCTCATGGGCCAGATCTGGCACACTGAGGGATTTTGTCCAGCCCACAGTGAATCCCTCAGTCCTGCTCAGCCCATGCACAGGGGATGGCCTGGGCCATGGTACTGCCAGTCCTGCTGCCCCTGGGCATGCAGCGGAGCTGGGGCAGTGCAGCAGTGAACTCGGTTTCCTGATAGCCCTGGTGGCCACAGCTCCTCCTGGCTCCTGCTGCCGCTGGACCCAGCCCTGCTGCCCTGGCACCCCAGCAAGTCCACCCCTCACCCACTGCTGGGGGCAGGGTGTGTAGCTTGGTGGATAAGATGGGGCCACAGGTGTGTGGGGAGGGCTGTTCAGGAGTGGGATAGGCAGGCAAGTCATGATCACAGGATGGGATCTTGGGGTGGTGATAGTGCGGGGCCAGGGCAGTCGCAATTGGCTGCCCACACACCCCTGTGATAGGTGCGGGTTGCGTGAGCAGGGGCATGTGGGGAGCAGATTGCAGCTTTGCCCTAGCTGTGCACTGTCACTACTCCAAGATCCTGGCCCCAGACACAGCTCCCCGCCTGCCCACAGCCCCATCCCATCTGCCTGGCTGCTCACCCTGCCTGTATGGGTCCCAGCCACTCTCCATAGAGACCCTGGAATCACTGAGCAGTAACGGTGGGGGCCTGGGGCCTGGCACAGAGTTGCGATCCACTTCCCATATCATGGGCAACTGGTGCCACCTTAGTCGGGGGGACATATCCCCCCCCCCCAGTGACCAGTCAGCACTTGGGAGGGTCCCCCCGCAGCAAAACTCGCCGAGCAGGAAGTGGCTGCGGCACTACATCCAGTGCTTCCACTCCCTGGGTGGCGCTCACAGGGGAGACACTGGCGCTCCTGTCTGCCCACCTGCCCATTGCCCAAGTGGGGAGTGTGGCTGGTCGGGGGGGTGCGCCAGCGCTCTCAGGGGGTGCACCTGCACCCCTGTGTACTCCCTACGTGTCACCATTGCTCCATATGACCCTGCCCACAGACCTGGCACCCGCTGCAGGGGTGTGCAGGCAGTGGATCATGGCTCTGCCCGGGGTCCTGGCCCTCAACGTCGCTGCCTTGTAATTCTCGTCCCACCTGCCCATCTGTTCTGAGCACGGAGCAGAGCCACTTAGGGAATGGGGGTGCTGACCCAGCCCACAATAGCTCACTGAAACTCCCTGTATGCTCTGCGGGCCCAAATAATTGCCCTAGAGAGCTGTATACCTCACCAGGTGCTCTGGAAAGCTGTACAACTTGCCTACCTGCTATAGTTAGGGACCAAAATAAAACCCCTATCCTGCCTCTGCAAAAGAGGCAACTGCCTGAGACTAGGAGTGTGCATAAACAGTGTGACCCAGGCAGGCCCCCAGATGGCACCACTACACTGTTAGAGATGAATACCACCATACAGTCCTGGATAACCCTTAGCCTTCCATCAAGAGGCCCAGAAACTAAATAGCGTCCATGACTCTGTTCCTCACAGAGGGCATATGAGACTGGGGTGCAGCACTACAAAGTGGATGAGTACCAGGAGGCTGTGGTAAAGCTGGAGGAGTCCCTCAAAGAGGCACTGTTGGCACTGGAGGACTGTCGAGCCCTGTGTGAGGGGCCCTGGGAGGACGAGACAGAAGAGGAGATTCAACCTGGCCTGTATGAAGCTGTTGCAGGTAGAGATTGAGGCATACTGGTGTGCTGTGGTTCAGGGAGGGACAGGTTTCCAAGCCTGGACAGGCCCTGTATCCTGCATGAGCAGGAAGGGGAGCTGCTGTGCTGTTGGAAGTACTGGTCTTCACTTCCCTGTTTCCTTCAGCCCATTACATCCAGGTCCTGAAGTGCAGGCAGCAGTGTGTCCTTGATATTGCCACGAAGCCAGGACGGGTGTCTGCCACAGAAGATTTCATACCCTCCCACTTTGACTTACTGCAGTTTGCTTACAACCAAGGTGAGGAGACCTAGGACAGCAGTCAGTAATGTGATGTGTGAACTGGCAGGGGAGAGCTACCTGGCTCTGTTGTACCCACTCGGGAGGAAACAGCATGGGTGGGGGCAGCAAGCATAACTTAAGTCATGAACGACTTGTGCCTCAAGGCTGGGAGGGCACGGTGACCACCCGCAAGCAGCGGTGGTGTTGGCAACGGGGGTGGGGATCACCTGCAGGCGGCTGCGGTGACAATGGTGGTGAGGGCGGGGCAAGTGGGGAGCACCCACAGGCGGCCACGGTGACAACGGCAGTGACTGGGGGGGTGGTGACAAGCAGTGATCACCTGCAGATGCTGGCTGAGGCAGCCAGTGTCAGGGAGGGCACGTATGCCTCCCATCCCGTGTTCCTCCCTACGCATCACCTATGACTTAAGCTCTTGATCTTTCCTCACTAAGCCCTCTCCTCAGAACCGTCTTCATCACCCTGGACAGAACCACCAACCACCTAGGTCCTCAGGCCTGCAACCTGGAGGCCATCTCTGAATTAGCCCTCACACCAGATCCATGCCTAAATCCTGCTGCTTTCTTACATAATGTCTCTAAAATCTAACCTCTCCTTTCTGTGCACATAACCAAGCCTCTTGCCCTCCTCATTGCCTATTGTGATTATGGTGATTAAGTCCTCATTGCCATGTGTACTTTCCTGGTCCTGGCTCCCTGCCTCCCCTACTCCCATAACATCCATTCAGAATGGAGCTGCCAACAACTCCTTGGTTTTGTGCTCTGGCCACATCACTCCAAGTCCCTCTACTGGTCCCCATGTATTTCTCCAAGACCTGCAAACTTCTCATCTTTACCAGGAGAGCCATCTGTAAATTAATCCCACCTTTCCAAGCTGGGCCGGAGACTGATGATGATACTGATCGTGACCCTTGTTGTGCCAGCACTCTCAATCTTGTCGTCTTCTACATTGGCAAGATACCTTCATGGTTTCTTCCATGCTGCCCACCAGACATGGCAGAAACAGTCTGATAAATCCAAACAACCATTGCTTTCTCTATTAGATCTGCTTTTGCCAGGAGGCCTTTCCCTTTTCTTCCCTGTCTTACTGTCTTCCTCCACACCTCTGTCCTTGCAGGAGAAATTCCTCCTACCTAGCACATCTGGCCAATTCTTCACCAGGTTCATTTATTGTAACCCCATCTCCCACCCTTGTCTGATTGTGTCTTTAGGTTATAAGCCCTGTAAGACAAGAAGTGTGGCTTTCCATGTGGGTTCAGTGCCAAGCTCTGGAATATTGGGCACTGCCAAGATATAAATATTCAGTAATAATAATAGACTTATACTTAATGCACCTTGGTCATGCCTACCTCCTTTTCTCTCTTGCCTCTAAGTTGGAAACCAGGCACTGGCTGCTGAATGTGCTGCTTCCTATCTGCTCTTCTATCCCATGGATGAATCAATGCTGGAGAAGATGAAATATTATCAGACAGAGCTGGGAGAGGGTGTATCGGTCACAGCCAGAGAGGTACCAGCAGCAGTCCCCAAATTCGCCATTCTCTGAACCTCACCATGGCTGACCTGGGTCCAGCTTCCGTTGGGGAGGGGTTGTATATATGTGCAGACACTGGATCAAATGAGCAGCAGCAGACTCGCTTCTCGGCCTTTTGACTCAGAACGTTTTCTAATAAAGTTAACCTGTTCTGTCAGGGGGTTAAAATCACCTTACATGGTACTGTGTAGTTAAGAGTGGAGACTTGTCCAGTGCACTGCTGGCAGGCCCCCCTGAAGGAGTCTTGCATAGCCTCCCAATGGGAGGATCTCAACTACTTGCTTGATTTTTATGGAGATGGGGGATTTCTGTCTAGCTTGTTCCTCTAACCTTTTGACTAGGGGCAAGCGAGTCTCGGGGACATCTGAACTCCAAGGCCTCTGGGCTTGGGGCCTGCACATAGGATGCCTACCATGGATTTGGGAGTATCTGAAGCCCCGGGCTGAAGAGTCTGGGAGGGAGGATACTTGCCGATGGTAGTGCCACACAGATTTGAACAATTGAGCTCAGATCACTTGATAGAATTTGGAACTGATTTGGCTAAATTGTCCTGAGACAAAATTTAAAAATAAAAATCCTTTGTCAGGCAGAAGTCTCCCCATGCCAGAGCAGAAGCAGGCTCTCTTTGTAGCACTGTGTGTTGGCAGAGGTCTCCTGAGGGCAGGAGTGGATCCCCTTTGTGGGGCAGTTGTTTAACAGCCTCTTTGTACCCCCAGAACATCTATCATTATGTTCAGCAGTCTCTGAAGGAGAAGAAGTTGATTTACTATGCAGTGGAGCATCTGGGAGGAACTTTTAATGACCCTGTAAGTAGTTGCATCCTTCTCCAGGCAGCTGAGTACTTCCTTGTCCAGGTCTCATCCAGGCCGTGTATGTCTCTCTGTGGTGCCTATGTCAGTAAAATATTCTCTTGGCTTTGTAAGAGATCTGCATGTGTGGGAAGGACCTCCCAGGTGAGAAACGAGTCTTCAAGGCCCTCATTCTCACCTGAGCCCCAGAGCTGGGGTGAGAGCCAGGAAGAAATTTCCCACTTGGGGCAGAGTGAAAGTCTTGCCTGAGGCATTAGGAGGTTTATATGCAGGTAGTCCACACAGGTCAGTGTCAGGACAGGCCAGCTGGTCTGGTGTACTCTAGCGTGGGGAACGCTGTGGCACTGGACTTGATCAGCCTGTTGGTCTGATCCAGTTTGAGAGGAGTGTCCCAAGATACCGAGCCTCTACGTTTTGTTTCTTTAGGACCTGTGGACCTCAGATGAGCTGATCCCTGAAAGCCAGAAGCAGAAACGCAGGTAGTCAGTGAGTCAAGTGGGAGGTGAGGTGCCATGGTGTGGGGAGTGACAGTGCCTGAAAGGGAAAATGTTGAAATCAGAACAGAGAAGGGGCCTGGCTCTTGCTGCTGATGGAGGGTCTGACTGAGGGGATCACAGCTCTGCATACTGACAGCCTTTGTCTGTGTCTCTCCCTTGCTTCTGAGAGAGGATCAAGAGAAGCAAAGGCTGGAGAATCTGGATGTGGAACAGCCGGAGCAGAGAGGTGAGTCACAGAGGGATACAGGGACATTTGTCCAGAAAGGTTAAATGGTCCCTGAGCCTCTCCTGTTCCAGCCTCAGTCATGTCATGCACAGGCCAGATGATCCACCTGTAGATCTCTTACCAGTACATAGGCACCTGAAAAACTCTCCCAGGCAAACTGCTTCTGGCATGAAGAAAGTGGGAGAGGAGCCTTAAGGGTATTGCCACAGCAGCAACCCAGAAGAGTGCTCAGATGTTGCTGTAGGGCAGTGTTCCTCAACCTGTGGGTCGTGACCCAAAAGTGGGTCCCAAGAATATATAAAAGGCTCGCGACCAACTTTAAAAATGGATTGGCAACCTAAAAATGGATTATCTTTTAAAGGAGAAAAACATGGGAAACTGGGTTTTCCCTTGCAGGCTGGCAGAGTTCCAGCCTGCAAGGGGCTGCTTGGGGACCCCTATGACCCCTACACACCCACCCCCTTCCCCACACACTGGGAGTCTGGAGGCAGGGTGGGGCAGCAGGTCGGGAGTGAGAGGCACTGGGTCAAGACTGGCCATCAATGTTTATAAATGGTTCCTGTTACAAAAAAGGTTGAGAACCTAGAGCACACCTGCAGAAGTTCAGACCGTGGTTCAGAACAACCCACATGGATGCACTGAGCTTCATGTGATTAAACTGCTTCAGCAGAACCAGCCGAGGCACAAGTGCATCAGTTCTATAGAGACAAGGAAGGGCTGTGAAGGAAAGGGAGGAATGGAGAAACAGATATAGAGGGTACAAAGCTTGGAAAATACTTCCTATATGACAAGTGAATGAGTACATTTGTGGTGGATAGCTGCTATATGTTCCCTAGCATAAGGTCCTGTATTTTCATCCTGGGCTTTCCATATGGGAGTTGTTGCAGTACCAGCCATCTCCCACGGCTTCTTCCTAGTCCCTAGGTCAAGCTTGGCTCCTGAGTGTGCTCTTCAGTAACATGGGAGGACAGATCCTGACCAAGGCCTGAGCACATCTGCAGTGCCTTCTATCCAGAGATTAACATGGGAGGGACAGAGTACTGATAACCAACACAAAGCCCTCCATGACAAGGCTGTCAGTGCTTGATGGGGCCAGAAAGACCAAACCTTTTGTGTCCGTGAGTAGGACATGGGAACAAGATGTGAGATTGAAAGGGAGACTGATCTAGGTGTTAGCCAGATTTTGTTCCCAGGTGTGCCCTCCACAGTGCTTGTTGAACTCTGCCACATACTGTCCATTCCAGTGCAGACCCACTGGAGTGGGAGGCTGTGATTCACCACTTGCCCCACCTCCTGCGGCTTCCTGCCTCATGTCTGCCAACGGGCTGGGCTCTGAGTTCTGTGATTGGTCAATGCCAACAGGCTGCCCCTACAGCACATAGTGGGTCAGTGTGACTGTGTTTTGTACCTTAGAGGACAGATATTTTGTCCCTGCAGTCTGGAACAGGGCTAATGTTTGATGGAGCTCCCTGTCCTGAGTCTGCTTTTGTGCTTTTTCTCCCCTGCCTCACCACCAGGTCCCTTATTTTTTGAGGGCCTTACCATCACCCAAGATTCCCGCCAGCTGAACGGGTCACAGCGGGTCGTCTTCGACAGAGTCCTGACAGACTCTGAATGTAAGGACATTCTCCGGCTGGCCAAGGTGAGACCTGAAGCTTTCAGGAGACCCTCTGGTACCAGAGGGTGCAGCCTGGACCTGCCCAGCTCTGCTCTCTTTAGCAGGAGTGGCTGTACCATCAGGGCAGAAGGAAAGAGCTGGGCCAGGTTTGAAATTGCTCTTCCACCTATTTCAGGCAGCTGGAGGCACAGGAGACAGTTACCGGGGCAGACGGTCCCCTCACACCCCACATGAGAGATTTGAGGGGTTAACAGTACTAAAAGCTCTGCAGGTAATTGGCTCTGTGCCTCTAAATATGTGAATGAGCCATCCACAGGGCACAAGCTTGCCTTGGCAAGTTTTGTGGAGGTGTGCTGGCCAGTCATTTCCTTGCATGGAGATTTCCCAGAGTGCTTTCCTTTATTTGAGGCATGCCCTTACTCTCACATGCAAGGGGTCCCCGGGTATGTTTCTTTCATGTGTACATGTGAGGGGTCTTACAGGCACATTCTCTTGCATGTATGGGCAAGCTTTCTTCTCTCTCCAGGGATTTCTATTCTGGTATGCAGGAGGACCCTTGCAGCCATGCACGGGGTATGGGAGGCTTGTTTTGCTGTTGTATGTATAGGAGGGAGGGTTTCACAGACATGTTTCTCTCATGCACATATAGGAGTTGGTTGGAATACTTTTCTTTCATGAATAGGGAGTTCATTGTAGGAGGTTGTATTTTGCTGGTACAAACGCTGGGAGGGTTTATCCCAGGTATTCGTGCCTTGTACATAGCAGTCCTTGTGGGATTTCATACAGGCAAGCACTTCTCTTGCACACACACGGACACTTTCTCTTGGACTTGGTCCTCAACCAGATGTTTATGAGTGCGCAATTCAAAGCTCGCTGTTGTGCTTCTCACTCTTGCTCATATGCAGGAGTATGGGCCATGCTCTTCATGGGCCTGCTTCTCTCATATGGGGGTCTCTTTCAGGGTGTTTCTCATACATCTGGAGCATCGCTCAAAGTGAGCTCCCCTCATGCAGTGTGCTGTGTGGGAGGTCTCATGTCTGGCACACTTTCTCTCTTACATTAATTCATGTGTGCACAGGCTTTCTTCCTCATATGGGAATATTTAGGGTCTTTTTAGAGGGTGCTTTCTCACATGGACATGGATGTATTTCTCTTGTTCATGGGTTATACTGCTCCTGCTGCTGCTTTTCTTCTGCTCCTCCTGCAGTATTCCTCAGGGAGTTGTTCCCTTGGTAGTTTCTCTCAAGCATTATTCTCTCTCTAATGCATATACAAGGACATTTCTCTCAGCCCTTCACCTGTAAAGCATGGTACGGGCAACTCTGGCATGCACAAGAGCTTCAGGAGCTTCTCTCAGGCATACTTCTTGCTTCCCCATGTGTAAACATAGGGTTTCTTGTGGGCATGCTTCTCTATTATGCATGTACATGATTTTTCACAGAAGTGCTTCTGTTACATGTGAGGTGTCGCACAGGCTTCCTTTCTTCTTGCAGCTGGCACAGGATGGAGCTGTGAACTGGAGAGATGCCAAACTGCTTCTACAGGCCAGTGAGAAATCCCGGAAAATTGTACAGTCCTATTTTACACCTGGGAAAAAGCTCCACTTCTCCTTCACACACCTTGTATGCCGCACAGCTGTGGAGGGTAAAGAAAGCCTCATCTAGTCTTGACCCCTCCACCTGGAAATTCCCCTTCCCTCTTGCTCAGAAGCCCCTCTTTCCTTGATGTATTCCTTTAAAGCAGTAATTCTCAACCAGGGTGCCATGGTACCCTTGGGTGCCTTAGGATCCTTTCAAGGGTGCTGCAGGGTGCCACGAAATGTTTGTACTGTTAGGTATACAAATATGATTCACATGATAAACCCAAAGACTTCTTCAAGTAGGAATCCGTAGTGTTAAAAACACTCTGACCTGTTGTGGTCTTGCTGAGTTCTTTGCAACAGAAAAATGGCTATGTTGGTTTTTTTTAAGTCAAAAAATGAGTCAAAACTAACAGCTGGCATTTTCCAAGGGGTACCTTGAGGCTACTGAGGGGTCCTTCAAGGTTGTAAACCTCTAAGGAGTTTATATTCCCCTGCAATATTCCTCTCCAGGGGAACAAGATGATCGCATGGATCTTAGTCACCCAGTTCATGCTGATAACTGTCTCTTGGATCCTGAAGGAAAAGAATGCTGGAAAGAACCACCTGCCTATATGTACAGGGACTACAGGTAAGATGAGAGTGGACCGCAGATTTGAGTGCATGGAGGAGGAAGATACTCAGCTTCATCATGGAATGATCCTGCCATAGCAGAAGGTCCTATTGCCATGATGATTCATAGGAACATAAGGATTGCCAGACATGCCCAGAGCCAAGGCCCATCTCATTTAGCATCCAGTCCCTCATAGAGGCCAGTATCAGCTTCTTCAGAGGGAAGAGTAAGAAACCTGCACTGGGCTGAGGGGTAGATAATGCACCCTTTCATATGAGGACTCATCCTGATCTGTAACTTCTACAGACTAGCTGAAATCCCTGAAGCTTGAGGTATAATCTCTCTCCAATATTTGGTATCATGACTGGCCATAACTGCCTATCCTAACTATTCTTACAAATGTTCAGTCTTATGAATGTTGCTGGGTTCTTGGCTTCAGTGAATTCTGCATTGTGATCCCAGCTGGTCTCCTTTTATCAAATTTGAATTTGCCACGTTTCAGTTTCACACGAGAAGGTGAACAGAAGTCTCTTGCTTGCCTTCTCTAGCCCAGCCATTGTTTTACATGTTTTATCATGCCCCCTCTTAATCCTCTTCTTTCTAAGATATTTTCAGATTTTTTTGTATGAGAGTTTCTTCTAGCCCCTCGAACAGGCCAAACTGCATCTCCTGGGCAGGTTCAATCCAGCTCCTAAAGTAGTAAATGAAACATTCTTTTTTTCCTCTCTATCTGTTCATTGATTATTTTACATTTTTTAATTTTCTTTAATTGTTGCTCATTAATGATTCTAAGAAGTAATTTAGCAGCAAATTATTATTTGAGATGGGTCACAGGTCATGGGCTCTGGGGCAGGCATACCTTAAAGCTTTGTACCCTATGACTCTCTGCCATGTCAGGCTTTTGGTTTAGGCTAGAAGGGTTAGGAAACTTGGTCATTCTTGATCATTCTTTTTGCCCTTTTTTTCCGTGTGTTTTTTGGAAATGGGATGAGAAGTACTGTGCTCAGGATCCAAAAGCAACTGCCCATTGATTTACATAACGGTCCACATAGCATGCACAGTATTATTCACCATCCAGCATGAATGATACTGACACTGTTATGCCTCCTAAGATCATGTTTGCTTTTCAGTGACAGCTGCATATTGAACAGAAGTCTCCACTAAGTCTCTTGTAATAGAAACATAAAACATGGGATTGGAAGAGACCCTCTTGTGTCAGCTAGTCCCATTTCTCTGTTGTCTCTGGCAACAGCCTGATATAGTCCTCTTCTCCAGCTCCAACTGAAAACTGGTTAGATCTTTTGATCCCACTATTCCTACTATAAATGGCTGATCCATTAACTCATTCCTGATGGTTGGACACTTTCTTCTGTTTTGCAGCCTACATTTATTCATGGCCAGTCAATGTCGTGTGCAAACTTTTTTTGTTCTTGTGCAAACTTTTTTAAAATAAAATTTCAAAAGTTCTTTCCCCATCCTGCTATGATTTGCCTCAGTATCTTTGCACGGTCTGCACCCCTCCCCCCCCCTCCCCCCAGATCATTACTAAAATATATTAAATGCCACAGGACCTCATACAGACCCGTGAAGACCTCAGACAACTTCTTACCATGATAAAAATTAACCATGTAATCCTACTTTTTGGTTTCTGTCTCTGAACCAGTTTGTGATCCATGACACTGCTTTGTCCTTCACCCCATAATAGCTTAACTTCTTTAGAAGGCTCTTGTATGGGACCTTGTCAGTGCCTTTTGAAGGCCTCAATACATAATTCCCAGACCAGGGCTGGCAACCCCAAGATGGGTTGTGGCACTTATGAGTGGGGTTACCAAGCCCACAGGAGTTTAGTTGTAGAACCCAGCTCTGCACCAGAAGTGGGGTGGCAACCCAGACAAAATCGGGATGATGAGAGATTGGGAACTGCTGCTTTAACAAATTTGGTCAGCTGGTTCTCTACTGCTTAATGGCATGTTCTGCCTTTTGAAAGGTTAGTGAGACCCAGTTTTTTCATTTGTAGATTCCATGCTGGTTAGACTCTATCCAGGGTTTGGCTATTTTACCTTTAGTGGTTGTTCCTACTAACTGGTTAAGCTGAGATGTGAGGCTCCCTGGGTTATAATTGGATGGACTGTCCTAAGAGCAAGAGTATGAGGCTTGATCTGAAATGGGGCCCTCTCATTAGGTCAGGGGCTGTGAGGAGTGAATGATCTCCATTTTCCAGCTACTCTTTCATTTCCTCTAGTGGGATCCTCTACCTCAATGATGATTTCAAAGGCGGGGAACTGTTCTTCACTGAATTGAATGCTGTGACAGTCACGGTGAGTCCAAGGTCTGGTCCAAGGGAAGGAGACTAGGGCAAGGGATGTTAAGGGAACTTAATCTTTCAGGTGGGTGCTGGGTAAGGAGAGAGCTCACTGGATGCCAGGCCTCTCTACTCCCCCAGGATCATAGGCGGTGGAAAAGGCGGGGCTTACAGGGCTTAGCCCCCCAAATGCAGGGCAGTGGTAGGGCCGCAAGGCAGCCCGGCCAAGGGCTTCCAGTGCAGCAGGGGTGGGGAGGGAGTGGGGCTGGGACTAGGGGAGGGAGTGCGGGACTGAGCCACAAGTGGCTTGTCCAGGGGACATGGCTCCTGCTTCTACCTGCACCCCAGGAGGCATGGGGGGCATATGCACCGGATCTGCGCAGGACAGGGCAGGCTGCTGCTATGGGCTGGGGCTGGGGCTGTGCCAGGCTATTCTCAGTGGGGGTTGTGGAGAGCTGGGCTGGGAAGAGTCCAGGCTGGGAAGAGCTCAGCACAGCCTCCATCCCTGCCTGCAGCGGCACCCTGCCCTGCCCCACGCAGATCCGGAGGCATATGCCCCCTATGTGCCCCTGAGACGCATACAGAGGTGGGAGCCACCACTGCCTCCTTGTGCCCCCGGAGAGCAACGACAACATGGGGCAGGTGCAGGGGTCCCAGGGGCTTCGTCTCCTTCAGCCTGGCAGCGCAGATGTGGCTGGCCCCACTCTGGCCCCTGGCTCTGGGCCCCCCGAGGAGTGTAGGGCCAGGGCCAGTGTAGGGCTAGGGAACTGCGGATTCATTGGCATCGGGGGTGCTGGCACCAGGCAACAACCCTGGGTGCAGGGGATCCTGGGCCTGGTTCCACTCCCTCCCAATCCCACTCCCTTCCCCCACAGACTTTCCCACTGGAAGGGGGAGGGGGGTGTATGCATGCATGTGCTTGGCCCCCTCCCCCAATTTTTTTCTCCCTCCACCTATGCCCAGGATCCAGTGCTAATAACTAAGCAGATTCAAATTGGGACAGCCAAGGCAAATGCAGGCAAATCCGGCCAGGGGGAGAGGTCAACTTCTTCCTGGTGGGTGTGTTCCATGCTCTGCCAGCGTATGTATGTGTGTTTGTCTTTCTTTTCTATCATGGCAATCTTTCTTTCCTTTTCTCTCTCTGTCCCTTTCAGGCAGCCTCTGTTAAAGTCAGGGTCCCTGTCAAAACCCCCTGTGGTCTCCTGAATGTTTTACAAGTCCACCTCAGCCCCCAAGTGAAGGGGAAGGGAGAGAATCGCTCACATGGCTGCGGGGAAGTGTGTGAGACCCCTAGATTCATTACTTCCTCTCTCTCTCTGGCAGGCTCAGGTACGCCCCAAATGTGGGCGGTTGGTAGCGTTCAGCTCTGGAGGGGAGAATCCTCATGGCGTGTGGGCAGTGACCCGTGGGAGGCGCTGTGCCATTGCCCTTTGGTACACACTCTCCCAGGAACGTGCTGAACAGGTAATGAGACCCCTTTGGGCAGCTGGCAGGCCATAGAAAAAGATCCTTGTAGTATGCCTCTAGGACAGGTTGGGGTGCCATTGAAGAGGAGGGTCCTCAGGGGCCCCACCTAGGTGGAGGCTATCCAATGCTTTATGGGAGAGTTCCCATCAGAGCTGATTGAGGCCTCACTGGAAAGGAATTCCCTCTGGAGAGGGCAGCATGAATTGGGTCCCTCCCCCAAGATGTGGCAAGGGTCCTAAAATTTGCGTGACCTAGTACAGGGATGTGATATGGATCCAGGGAGCAGAGCAGAGGCTCCAGGTGGGAGGGAGTTGCACCATCCCCTCTGTCTCACACTCTGTGGTTGCAGGAGCGACTAGAGGCTGAAGCCCTGGTAAAACAAAGGGACATGGAGCAGGAGAAGCAGCCAGAGGACAAGCAGCATCAAGGGCTTGACGACAGTGGTGGTACCTCACCGGAGCCTCCTGTTCCCAAAGAAAGGGCCAGATCCACAAGCCAAAGACACAAACTGGGCTCTGAGTCCCCACAACAACCCCAGGAACTGCGAGTCAGGGATGAATTCTGAGGGTGGTGGGCATGACACTAAAGAACAGGCACACTGGCCTGTCAACTTCTTAGTGACACAGAGTACGGAGGTGTTTTTGGTCATTTATTAGAATACTAGTCCCACAATTGTGGGGGAAGGATACAGCTTATTTCTCAGTGACATCACAACAGAAAAATTACATCAATGGTAAAACAGAAAGGGCCATGGTACCTTGATCTTTATTTACCATCTTGACTTGAGATTTATTTAATCACCCAGAAATAACAAAACAGGCTCCTCTCATCCCCTTTTTTTCAATGAGCCTTCAATAGGACCAAACCAAAGTGGGGAAGGAGGGATTTTTGGGCAGGGGATTTTCTTGTTTGGGGATTTGAAATGGGAACCACAGTAACATCTAAACTTCCTGAGCCAACCCCTCAGGCCAGAGAATCCCTAGACTGAATTGGGAGAGGGCAGGTCATGGTCTATGAGTGTATAAAATAAAGGAAAAAATAATGAATACAAAATGTGATGGGAGTTGTGGGTTTGTCCAGAGAGCAATGGAGAGAATGATGGAGAAATTTAATTAACAAATGATAGAGGCAGGCTCAGCCCTAGAAGAGGGAAAATAAGGGCTCTGTAGACTTACCCCTCCCCTGACAACAAATAAACATGGTGGGGTGGAAGACAGATTGCTATACTCTGCTGGGACTTCTCTCTTGGGAGGTTGGGGACCACCTACTGTGACAAGTGAACATTCACTGCCCCAACACAAGTTCATCATCACTTCCACATGGGGAGGAGCGAGGCAACTATATTGTTTATCATTTTCCAGACTGGCATAAAGACAATCTGCTCTCACTACCCAGGGGATTAACATCCAGAGATTGGATTATATTGTAGGCAAAGAGGAATGAGAGGGCTGGAGACAGAGTATCAAAAAGCGCAATGACTCTATTCCTGGGGGGGATTAGAACTACGTTGCATGAGATTCACAAACCAAAGGCAGAGCTCTGTGGGACTAGCAGTTGGAAGGGTTTTGGGACAAGCCTGAAAGCATCAGCTAGGCCATGTGGAGAGCCCTGAATAGGAACAGCTGCAGGACAGGAGTAAGGGGCACTGGCAAAACCATCTGTTGGGGGCTCAGAACAGATATATTGGGGTGGGGGGCTGTCATGGTATGAATGACTCTGTTCCATACACAGTTGCTGGCTCCCTGACCCGACCTGACTGATACTGCTGCACACAGTTAATCTCATCCTAGTGTGCTTTGAAAGATAGGGAGTTGGGCTCATGCAGCCAAGCTTTTTGCGATGTTGGTTAGCTGCTCTCGGGCTTATCAACGGAAGCCAATTTGCTCATTCTCCACTGCTCTTGACAACATTCCCTCTTTTTTTATCCCTCACTCTTAGGCTTGGCATTAGAGAAGAGTAGTAGTCCATATGGTCCAGGTTTCTTTTCTCCATCTGTTAGTGGTAACAAATCCCCTTCCTCTTAAATAACTTTCTTATTCAGAGAGGACTCCCACACTGGCAGCTGGACAAGACAGAGCCTTCACTTTCGCCACCTGTTCCTCTGAGGTGGCCAGTTGCTGCCTTGCAATCGTGGCTGGCTCTGCCCAAAGGTAGCCTGGGTGATTAGACTGATGGCTTCCTGACGTCAGATAAGAGCCATTAAAAGGTATTTATCTCTGGCTTGGGCTAAAGCTGCAGGGGAGATTAAAAGAGATTGAGGCCAAGATAATCCCCCTATAGCAGCATCCCAGGAGAGCAGCTGCCAAAAGGCCTTTGAGCAAACCACCTTGTACCAGCCCTGTTCCCTCACCCTGCAGTGACAGGGGTTTCCTCCACCAGCTGCTGCTTACTGCTCTCTCAAGGATATGATCCCTTAAAAAGAAGGAATCCTTTCACAGGAGGCCAGGATGCCAATATGAACAGTCACAACTTCCCTTTCCTAACAGGTTAGGAGCTGAGCCTTGTCCCCCAAAGGAGGCCTCCAGGATGCAGTGCATAGAGGTGCCTCCTGTCCTGCCATCAGGAACTAGGACCCCAGCTCTTTCTCCCTAATCTTCCCTGTATTAGCTGGTTGCTAATGCAAACAGAGTCCAATCCTTTTGCAATGATTTTTTTTCTCTCTCCAGAAACAGCATGTTCCTCTCCTGCCTCTTTCCATCCCCTCCCCATCCACCTGCTTTGCATTAAGTACCAATCCGATTTTCCCCAAGTCACTGGTGTCTGATTTAATTTGCCTGACGTTGCTCCTGGAATCAGCCCTCCCCTACCCTGCCCCCCCACCACACAAACACACACACACACACACAGCTTCCCATGGGGAGATCAGTCCTGAGAGAGACTGAGACGCTGAGAGAGAGTGAAGGGTACGGAGCGTGTGGACAGTTGGCACTAGGACGGGGAAGGACTGAGGGGGAATCCCAGTGCAACCAGTGACTCCCAGCTAGGGTGGGAGAGCCGAATTCCCAGAGGTCCAAGGGAATCCGTCTCAGACAGAGATCACAACTGCCTCATCCTACAGACCACGGTAAGGCTGTTCCCTTGCTCCTGCTCCTGCTCCTGCTCCTGCTCCTGCTCCTGATCCTGCCTGCTCAGTCTGGATCTAGGGGTTGGTATCTCCCAGTACATCTTGGGCTACATGACCTTCTGTGCAGGTTTGGTGGTTCTCTGTATGTTTGGATCCTGCTCTGTACACGGGTGTGTGGGGGTGTGGGGAAGGGAAATTCTCAATAGGATGGAGGTTGGGGTTAGGATCAACTGCTCTACCAAAGAAGTGCTTGCAGACAGGATAGGGACCTTCCCTCAAAGGGGAATTTATACAAGGCTCCTGTGTATCGTAGGACTGTGTGATCTCCACACCCCCTCTTAGGCAAATGGGGCTGACACCCTCAATTTGACCCTGCACATCGATTCTGCTTGGTTCTTTGCAGCCCATTTCTAGCCTGTATGGAGAAGGAGCCTACCAAGAGAGAGGAATATATCAGGGCAATTTTATTCTGCCCTTTGATCCCTGTTGCAGAGCAGGGAGATCATCTCTCTATCCGGCTCTACAAGAAGCCTAGGGTCACCAGGACACGCATGAACTGACGGCCTAGGGATTACGTTGGCAGGGACCCTGTGACCTCCCTCACTAATCCCCGCCCTTCCATGCCTATTGTTTATCTATTTACAGCTCCCCAACATCTGCTGAGAGGTAGCCCTCTCCCCAGTGTGGATGAGGTGATCCAGGGGAATTATAAACTGGAAAGCTGAACTCCTTTCCACATCATCACTTGGGCCACTATGTCCCATGACTCCCAATCCTCATTCAAGCAGGATGAGGTGGTTTGGATGACTCAATAGCAGGCCTTCTTCCCTGGGTGTCAGCACTGGCCCTGGTATCCCAGCAAGGTGGTAGAGGTCTGTGTGGCAAGCATGTGAGCATTCCCCTCAGAGCTATCCCCATTTATCTGTGTGCTGTTTCACATTCTTGGTACAGCAAAATCTCGCCACTTCAGTTAGGTTCATGACCTATCTCTGCTAAGTGCTGAACCAACACCCTCAGGCTACATGCAGATGTCATGTTTGTCCAGGAGAAGCCATTTTCTCCTGGAACAAAGTGCCATTGTTCAGATGCCCACATCTGTTGTTCCAGGACAAACCCAAAAAAGCTTCATGGGATATGAATTGCAAGCAGTTTGTCCTGGGATGTTGTAAAGTACATCTGAATGATTGTCCCTGGATTGCATCCTTGAATTAATGGCAGAAATGCAGCAGTGCATTCAGCTGCTCAGCAAACCCTGATTAGGGTGATGTGTGTACGTGCCAATCCCAGGACTTTTCTGTTCTGGGATAAACAGGCACAACTGGTCCTGGGACAAATGTAACATCTGTTTCTAGCCTCAAAGACAATCCTTGCCCTGAAGAGCCACCAGGCTACAAATACAAGTGAAAAATGAGGGGGCCAGAGAGTGAGACAGTTAAGCAGACATGTTTTTTATACAAAGTTACATGTCCTCAGTTAACTGCAAATAGACAAATGGCGAGTGAGAGTCTACTTGTCACTAAGCTGTCATAATTTGGCTGGTTACCTGTAGGCATTATGGCCATCGGAGGGGGCTGCAGGGTTTTTTTTCCTGGAGGTCATTCTGTGTAGGAGGCTCAGCACAGGAACGTTTGTAGAATCACTGAAGCAATGGGGTTGGGAGGAGAAACACTGCTAAAGACAGGAGCAGTAAGACCAGAAGGAACAGGTGTCTGAGAGCTCAGAAAGAGGAGACAAGGCACTGGAACCTGATACGGTGAAACGGGAAGGCAGAGGAGACATTTGGAAGAGGGGGCATCTGAACAAGAGGCTAACTTTGATACCCTACCAGCTTGATCAGGTAGCCTGTGCTGCTGTGGGACCTGGGTGATTTCATGGAGGCTAGAGGCCCTTTCATGGCAGTACTGATCCATGACTTCACAGACAGTGGGGTGGGGGGTGCAGTGCGATGCTATTGCAAATGGCAGTTTGCATTTGAGCCATTAAGCAAAGACTCAAGCCTTATTCTCAAATGCAATTGATGATTTGAGATTTTTCAATTTTTGGGTGGCCACTATGAGATAACTGAAAGGGTGTCTACCTTTAAGAAAATGTTGAGTGTCCACTGTGTACTCTGTGGTCCATCAGGCCCTTTAAGATGTATAAAACAGAGCACCCAAAAAAGAAATGTACTAAATTGCTAATCACTCCTGAAAAATGGGGTCAGTCAGGGTTGCATTGCTTCCTTAGCATTTTCAACAAAGGCAGGGCCTTACCTCTGACATCTGCATTAGACTCTAATGTGAGAGAAATCCATTCTGCTGCCCTCAATTTTCTGTGCTGATTCAGTTTGCGGACTGGATGTCCCTCCATTTCCTCCCCTAGGTTTTCACACAGCATCAGAAAGGCAATGTCAGCCAGTGCTACGAAAATTGGCATGCTTCAACCCTGCTAACCCAACAGACCACTAAGCTTGGGAGGACCAATGACCATTTCCTTGATTGCTCTTAAACACCTGGGGCAGAATTATGCTTCCCCTCGTGCACCACTTGAAGTGCAGCTTGCAACCAAATCTGAGTTTCCTGACTAATATATAGAAGTGATTCTGTTCCCCCTCCAGGTGTGTATGTACCACCATTATAGGAAAAGGATACATCTCCAGAGATGTAAGCCTGTCTTTTTAGTCCTGTAATGGGAGCACTTATGTGTCTGGAGAGTGTAACAGACTCCTGCACTTCAGTCAGGAAACTCAGAATTGGCTACAAGCTGCACTTCGGCCTACAGTGGGGTGAAACAAAATTCTGCCCCTCCTGTGTTCCTCCCTACAGGCAGCTGTTCTTCAGTGCCAGGTGGGTGACTCACTCTCAGTAAAGCACTTTGGGATGATACAGGATGGAGACTGTAGAGGAAGATAGAGTTGTTGCCTTCAGCTGTGGCTTCTTGTCTTTCTAAACTACTCTGAGGCTTTATTTGGATAGTTCCCTCAAAAGGATTTAAAGATTCTGATGGGGACCTGAGCCCAAGAAACAGCCTCTTCCTCTATATTTAGCTCTATCTGTTTCTCCTTGACAGTGTCTCTGCCCATTGATCCTCCTGCCAGGTTAGAAACCGTCTCAAAAGGCTATGTAACTTCCCAAATAGCTGCTTCCTATAAGATAGATAGATAGATAGATAGATAGATAAAACAGACAGAGGGAAGGATGAATGATGTGTAAGGTGAGACTAGAGTTGGGCTGGATGGTTGTGCAGAAGAGAACCCCATGAGGTTGATCTCAATGGAGTAGGAGTTGCAAAGGAAAAGGAAGAATCTCTCAGTCTCACACTAAGAGAACGGTAGAGACAAAATTCCATTTAGTCAGTGCCCATGGAGGGGACTCAGATGAACGTGGACCGGAGAGCTAGAGATTGAGGACTGTGGAGGAAGCTTCAGTTGTTCTGACCAAGCTCTGAAAAAACCTTAAGGTCAGGATCTCATCATCAGCCTGCTTCTGAACCCACAAGGATCCCACAGAAGACACTAGAGGAAATGAGGCAGTGAGAGAGGTTCCAGCAAAGTGGTGGATCCAGAATTCAGGGCTGCTCATAGAAGAGAGAGGCAATCTGAACCACAGAGAAGGAAGGAGAGTTGTGCCAGGATGGGGAGCAGAATCCATGCAACATGAAAGGGAAATGATTCCTGCTAGGTGCAAGGGTAAGCAGCTGATGAGAGCTGGGCAGTCTCCATGACTTTGTTGAGGCTGGGGACTGTGGGAACTGGATAAGGGGAAGATGCTAAAAAAGTTATAGACTACAGTTGGCCACTTGCTGAAGGAGGGGGCGGGGGCTGGCCCTCAGAATGGACTGTGTTCAGGATCACCAATATTTAGTTAAGGTATATTTTTCCTAATAACTGGGACTTGGAGGGTCACATCCAATCATGTACTGCCCCTTCCACCATGCCCCCCTCATTCCCCCACCGCAGAAGATGCTTTGGGGTCAGTTCTGGTGCATTTTAGTGCATAGGGAGAATTACTTACAAACCATCTACTGAGTATCACAATCCATCCAGGCAGGGGGCAGTGGGAAAATCAGTCACTTGGCTTGTGCACAAGAACATGCCTTCTCTCCTGCAGTTGAGTAGCCCCTCTTTGTGGCCCTGACCATTGCACTATAGTAGCCAGTAGTGAGGGACCCTGGATTGCAGTCACCCACCTGGCCTCTGAACCAGCCCAAGTGACAAGGACCTTCACAGATACAACCATAAGTGCCCCTGGAAATTAGGTCATTTTATCTTGGCTTTCCTGGACCCTACAGCCTGCCCTGAGGACTGTTTAGGAAAAGCCAAAACCAACAACCTTCCCCCACCCGCAACATTGAGTGTGTCTACACATAAATTTATTGTGCAGTAAGCAGCTTTTAAGCCAGTATCTACACATGCAGGTGTTACAGCGTGATAGCATGCAGGTAGCAAATTTACGCTGAAATTGGCATAAGTTGCCATAGTTACTATGCCGCATGGGTACGCATGTGTAGATGCGCACCTGTACAGTGTAGTAATTTTCAGTTACTGTGCAGTAACCTAAATTACTGCGCAGTAAATGTGCACATGTAGATGCGCCCACTGTATCTTATTATTAAGGCTCTTCACAAGAAAAAAAGACAAGAAACCCACTTTTTAATGAAAGATGAGATCTGTCTCCTGTATTTTGGGGTCTCAGAAGGACAGTTTCAGGAATTTGAAAAGGTATCCCTGGGGTAGCTCAGGGAAGGCCACTCAAACGTTCAGGGTACCAGAGGGGTTGGGCTTTGGGGAGAGGTTCATGAGCTAAAACAGAGCAGCTGCACAAAGGAAGGGACATCAGAGCTGTTCATGTGTCCAAGAAGTACCCTAGGAGGTCCACTGGAAATGGGCTGGGACTGAGCCCAAGGAAAGGAGCTGAGGCACCATCAGCCAGTGTGGTGGGGGCTGGAGCCCCATCCCTCAAGGCACCAGGACAAAACTAGTCACTGAAAGAAACCATTCCCTCAAGCAGTACGAAGGTAACCCCTTCCCAGATGATCAGAATGGGGCAATGTAGGTCCTTCAGTGCTGGAAGCAAAAGTCCTTCCAGTGCCCCTTTCCTGCTCCTGGTGAACGGATCTGTCACTAACGCCATGCTACTGCTCCTGGAGAAATCTCCAAACCTGAGAGAGATCTCTGCCAGCAAAGATGAAATGCAAAACACACAGGGCCTGTCCTGGAATCTGACACCTGCCTCAGGAAAATACTGAGCCAACAAAGGGCAGGTGTGCACAGATGAGGCAGGATGGGATGTACAGAGTGAGTAAGACACTAGAATCATGGAAGGGGGAAGGGGGCAAAGTTTCAAGTAAACTGCAGGGATTGTTAGGTCAGAGGTGTCAAAGATACAGCTTGTGGGCTGGATCCAGCCCACAGAAGCCCTCAACACTGGCTCTGGGCCTTGGAGTTAACCCACAGGCAACATTCAGCATGCATGCGATGCCCACTCAGGCCACTCCAGGATACACGTCTGCCCATGTCAGATCCAGTGCGAGTCCCCAAGCAGTCAGCACAGTGCTGGAGTGGCCAGAGTGGGCAGCGTGGTTCTGGAGCGGGCAGCACCATGATGTGTGCAACACTCAGTCCAGCTGTTCCAGGACAAAAACTGGATCCAGCGTGGAGTGGATGTACACTGTGTCATGTGGCACAGTGTCAGACTGGCTGGAGCATGCACTACATGCAGCACAATCCTGGACTGGCTGCTCTGGGACATGCCCAGTGTGCAACAGCCCCTCCAGAACACATGCTGGATTCAGCATACAGGGCCAGTCTGTGGGTCTGATCCAGGCCGTGGACTAGCCCCACACCACTCATCTGGCCCATAGGGCCAGATGAGCTTGATACCCCTGGGTTAGATGAATCAGTAGAGGGTACTCTTCGTTGCAAGTCAGTACAGATACCAAAGCCTCACTGTGCTTTTAGGGCAGCAGTTCTCATCCTTTGTAGATTTAAAGCATCTCTCATTAGATTCAGTGTACCCCTTGGAAATGCCAAGTCCTCGCTTTCCCTCATTTTTTGACTATGGAAAAATAACTGAGCAATGCTTTCATTGCAAAAAGAGAGTCCACAACAGGTCAAAGTGTT